CTAAGCGATCAAATCTGATGCAGAATCAAATCTGCCCAAATGCACGATCGCTTAAGCGATTTATAGTCTCCATTTAAGCGATTCTTTGCTTTTACCGTGGTCGCTTAGCGCATATAAGTCCATGATAGTATAAACATCTGCCTAGATGCAAGATCCTTAAGCGATCTTTTATAGAAAACCCTTTATCGCTTCAGCAATATAGTAGTTCGCTTATATGTCGCTTAAGTGATCATGGCAATACATATTTTTTCCAGCTTTTCTCTGAATTTTGATAAACTAAAATCACCAACCATATTAATTCCATATTTTCTCCTGAATTTGACAATCTAATTGCATCAACACATCAAGTCATGTAACAAGAATACTAAATAAACTCAAACTCAAAAGGGAGAGAAATACTGACTTGCTTTTGTATTAATCTGAAATTGTTCAATTACATTAAATTACAACATTATATACAACAAATAAATCTCCTATATACCCAAACAAAAGCAGGCCGACAGCCTCCATCCTCCCTCTTCATCATTCTCTTCAGCCACTTCTCCATCCTCCAAAATTATCCAGCACAACTTCAGCATCAGCATCAGCATCAGCAGCAGTGTCAACAGTAGCACCACAAGCAAGTATCAACAGCCTGACGCCTAACAACACCAACTGATTCCTTCAAGACAATCCAATTATTCAGATAACTCAATAAGACACATCAATAAACTACAAAATTCTAAGTCCAACTTCCATTCCTTTTGAGACAGCATCAACAATGACTTGGATTGAGTTTTGGTCAGTTAGAAAGGATCCATATGCCCATGGAAGCACTCAACAGCCCAGTGCTCCCGATAGTTGTTCATTGTTTCATCATTCAAGTCGTCCATCGTGTTAATCATGTCAAACTCAATAAATTTCAGTGCATATGCCCCCAATCAGCACTACACAGGAGGAAGACATTGGCGTAGAATCAGCTTATAAAACAATTGTATTATGTAAGTTTTATACAAAATTTACCTTGAGTCTGTCAAGACGGGAAGGCGCTTGATGGCCACTTTCTTGTCAGTAGTTCATCACCCAAGCGCTGAAACATCCCGCTGTCGTGCAACAGTGACGGGAACAATACACACAATGGCTGCACTCCGTCTCCAACTGCCTCTCTTGACAATATTGGGTTGCAGTCAAGGATCTGCAACAGCCCTCTTTAGTAGCTGTATAACGTATTACCAATGCATATCCTTGATGTTCATGATGCAGTATACTCTTTAACGTTTGCCCACTGTGCCATATTTGGCCTTTCCCCCATACATACTGCTCATCTATCATCAAACTAAAAATCTCAGGGACACCATCGATCATCTGTGGCCAATCTTTTCCACTTGCCTCCCTTGTTGCACCTCTACAATGACATTTTTATTAAATGTCATATGTGTTACTAGCGTTTGGCCAAAGGCCACATCGGTGATGTCATAGTGCGAATACAAGATATCATCATTACGCTCTATCGTAGCCTCATAAGTGCCAATATCTCATCGATGTACTGCATCAAATAAAAACAACATTAAATATACAATACCTCATAGAAACATAAGCAAAAATAAGGAAAAATAAGGGAAAATACCTCACTGAGTCTTGAACCACCTACCTATCATCAACATCTTTTCAAACCACATCCTGAGGTAATCCCCGGTCTTACACTTCACATGCCCATCCTCTTCCAGATCATTGTAATACACATAAAGAGTTTTTTCTTTTCCTCATCTATGGCCTATACAATCGACGTTTAACTCCTCCGTTTTCACTTGCCCACTTCCTCCGCCTTCCTCCTCCATTTTCGCTTCCCCATTCCTTCATGTCCCGCCTCAACCCTCTTCCATTTTTACTCCCCACTTCCTCCGCCTTCCTCCTTACCCTCCTCCTCCATTTTTGCTTGCACTTTCACAGACTTCCTCATTTTTTTTCTTCTTTTTTCTCTTCTTCCATACATTACTGTCGTGTAGGAGAAATTACATGCTTACTCTTTCGGCTCTCTCTTTTATGCTCAAGTTGCACTTCAACCACTTTCAATACCCCACCAACTTCCTCCTTCATCCTACCATTTTCTCCTCCATCCTTTTCATTCGCTCTTCCATATTCTCAAACCTCTCATAAACGGCTGTTGTAAACTCTCAAATAGACGTTTATGAGGTCAACCACCTCATCTCTCGACCCCGATGCCTCAACAAAACAGTACTTGTTTGTGTTTGCCAATTAGGTGGTGTACAACCTCTCTCATCCTCCTCCTCTCCTCCCTCCTGCCGATGGAGCTTCATCATCCTTGGCGTCAACAACATTCTAAAGTAGTGGCCCTACAACTGCACTCACATGCGTGACCCTCTCTAGGTCCCACATTAGGCAGTTATCCCTTTATCTGTTTCATTCTTCAGTGCTTTGAACGATGTAACATACTATTTTCCCCGCTCACCTAGTAGCAGTGAAGAAGGACGAATGACTCCCTGCAATAAGAAAAAATCAATCAAATTTAAGTACATTTAAAACAAGTGTATATTCAAAAGATTAATCCTTAATCTTACTGAGCTGCTTGAATTTCGATTTCTATTTTGTCATAATCCCAATGGGTACACTTCTGATGTGCATCGCAACATCCTAAGAAATGCGATTTACTCTCCGACCTTCTTCACCGCTACTAGGGTGAAGCGGGAAAATAGTATGTTACATCGTTCAAAGCACTGAAGGATGAAACAGATGAAGGGACGAATGACTCCCTGCAATAAGAAAAAAATTAATCAAATTTAAGCCACATTTAAAGCAAGTGTATATTCAAAAGATTAATCCTTTAATCTACCTGAGCCGCTTGAATTTGATTTCTATTTGTCATAATCCCAATGGGTACACTCTCGATGTGCCATCGCAACATCCTAAGAATTGCGATTGCTCCTCAAGTCTTCATCTTCTCTCCCCCTCCCCCCTCTCCCTCTAGCAGAATAGGGATGGCCTCATCATCCAAGCCTACATTGTAAAAAAACAGTGTATATCAAATTAACACACATAAATACAAAAAAATATAACAAAAAGCTATAATATTTACTGCATTGCCCATGGGAAGCCAAATAAATTGTACGTGCTCGATCTATTCTCTCGATAGATTGGCGCTGCTTTAACCCTATGTCTTTTCCTTGCAGGAAGTCCATGGTTAGCTGAAATGATACCTGTCCCCATGGATAACATTAAAAAGTCCATGTTCTTGAAAACTTCACCCAATCCATATTAACGGCTTTTGTTGAGTTAGAAGCCATTAGGATCGAATGCACAAAACATACCAAGCACATCTTGAACCTCTATGAAGAGGTATATCCATCTTCTTCAAACTCTCCTCTAAATCGCGTCCTGTAATAGACGCTTCCCCCTAAAACCTTTTTCGCCAAGTTATCGGCTGCCCTACTCTTCTTTATTCTCTCTGCTTTGTCACATCTGGAAATGCCGCACATCTTAAGCCTGTTCACAGGGCTATTCCATCATCCCAAATCGTAGGGGCTTCCATCCACCACAAACCACATTTTTTTTTTTTTTTTGGCTTTTACTGAGTGCAGCAACATATAATGCACTCTTTGCCCCAGAATGCCTTTTTCTAATTTTCTTGATGTTCATAAAATGACCGAAATAGCTCTCTTTGAATTGGTCTATACCCTTCTTCTGTTCCCGTAAAATCTCTATATTCTCGTAAAAACTTGCCACTCGACCTAACTTCACCCTTATGGGGAAGTACGGTACCTTATCGCTTACAACCTCTAACCCATAGTCTTTAATTTACGCTTTGGAAATCTACGTAATCGATATAAACTAAATATTGCAAAAAAAAAGAAACCAAAACAACCAAAACAACCAATAGGTTGCCAATTTAAGGGATATGGGCTCGAGGGCATCGGGGAGTGGGTGTTTTGCCTCGAGAGGATCGGGGAAGCAAATACAAGCCCTACAAGGATGTTGTGTAGGTTTCATGAGGTTGGAGGCTGAGGATGGCAGGAGGTTGGAGTAGGGGGGCTAGAGGGCTACCCTGCATATTGTAGGGTTAGCCACGCGCAGCGCGCTAGCGCCACCTCCTGACATCCCCAGCCCACCAACCTCCCACAAACAAACCTCCTTATGGCCTCTCTTGCCCTCCCCCACCTCTAGAACCCAAACAAAGCCACTCCCTCATGTCCGTCAACTACTCGACAAACGCCACAACCACCATAACAATAAAAATCAACTACGTCTCCCCAAATTTGCATAAACCAATCAATTTCTCATCCAATTAAAAAACAAGTAAAAAACGTACCTTTCTTCACCGGCGTCCTCTCCTCGCCTGAATTCCTCGCTGTGTCCTCCTCTTCAGAACCTGTTTTCAATTCTACTCTTTTTCTTGTGCTGCCGTCGTCTCCTCTGCATCTGGACCACCTTTACTCTCAATCATCCATTGGAGCGTCTCTTCGACAACCTTCGAACTGTCACCACCGCCGAGTCTAGGATTTAGAGTGGGGTTGGGTTTAATCCTCTTTCTGAATATCAGTCATGATTTTGTGTAAGGAAGCGTTAGAATCGAATATTTGCCAAATATGGCACTTTCGTTGCGGAAATGGCAGAGAATCAAAAGTGTTCGTCAGTCGTTTTTTGGGTATTTGGCTCACTTAGTGATTTGAAGGTGGGGGTCATTTTTATTTTTAAAATTTAATCGAACTTCATTATTATAATATATCTACATATGTTTAAATCCTTTCACTTTAATCCGTTTACATGACTAATGAATCTTATGTATGCCACATCAGTTTTCTAAATTAAAAAAAATGAAAAATAGTTTCCTGGTCATTTTTCTAAATGCAAAACTTGGGAGGTCGGGAGAGTAAATTTCCTCCCCAATTTCACAGCAGCAACAAGAAGGATTAGGAAAAGAGAAAATTGGGAAATAAAAGGTAAGTAGTGAAGAGGGTTCGAATTCGATTTCTTCAGGGTTTGCGTTTGTTTTGAGGGATTTTTATATGGCGAAGAAGAGGAAATCAGACGCCACGCGCCTTGATGAAGTTGACCGTACGATGTATACTACCTTCTGCAGCGCGGCCAACTCGCTCTCGCAGCTATACTCGCAGGCGATGAACCACCAGCGCCTCAGCTTTCAGGCCGGTAGCGTCACGCACTGGTAGTGCTTCATTTCTAATGTATAGTTCTCTGAATTTTTTTAATTTTAATTTTGCTTTTTTGAGTTTGATCGGTGGGGTTTCTGTGATATGTTTTTTGCGTGATGGGTTTAATCAAAATTGTTTTTTTTTTTTTTAAATGTTTTTGTTCTCTGCTATTATAGTGATTAGAAAATTGGAAATTTGTATTTTTTTTTAATTTAATGCTGGGTTAATTATTTGTGTTAATTATCTGGTTGATGACTTGTATCTGTTTGGTTTTTGAGAAAATGGAAGAGAAAGTTAATATTTTATGTTTTATAATTTGTTCTAAATAAGCTTTGGAAGTTGCTGTAGGGTTCTGCAGCGCGGCAAACTCGCTCTCGCAGCTCTACTCGCAGGCGATGAACCACCAGCGCCTCAGCTTTCAGGCCGGAGAGCGCCACGCGCTGGTATGCTTTCGTTTGTAATATAAAACTTTTTTTTTTAATTATAATTTTTTTTTATGAGTTTTGATTTTATGGGGTTTCTCTGATATCTGTTTTTGCGTCATGGGTTTATCTCAAAGTTGTTGTTGTTGTTGTTGTTTTTTTTTTTTAATTATTATTTGATTTTGTGAGAAAATTGTAAATTTGTATGTTTTTTGGCCTTTCAATTTGATGCTGGGCTAATTATCTGTGTTAATTATCTGGTTGATGAGCTTCTGTCTGTTTGGTTGATGAGAAAATGGAAGAGAAGATACGACAAAAGTTAATATTTCATGTTTTTGGCCATGCTGGGTTAATTATTTGTTAATTATCTGGTTGATGAACTGGTATCTGTCTGGTTGGTAAAAAAATGGAGGAGAAAATATGAGGAAACTTAATATTTCAATGTTGTATAATTTGTTCTAAATGAGCTTGGAAGTTGCTGTTGGCTTGGTTTAGCAAAGCTTTTATTTTTTATATTTTTGGGTGTAAAAAGAACTTATGATTTTGAAAGTGAAGAAAAAAATAATTACTTTCTGTGCACGTGCCTGGATGTATAAATTTTTTGGATTCATCTCTCAAATTCATGTTGTTTTTGAGAAACTCTGTAAAACTATGCCTCATTCCTTGTAGTGCTGAAGGCTTATGTGCTAGTTAAAAGAGTCTCCTGTTATAAATTCTTCGCAATATTGTAAGTACGGGTGTTTAAACAAGTTTGGATTGCTAAGAAACTTGTACCGATGTCTAAGATTTTGATGTCAAGTTTTGCAACTCATGATTATTTAGGGTTTAATTAAGTGATTCTTTCACTTGTTTGTTATACTGCTCAAATTCATGAACATTTTCCCGCAATAAAAATGGGGCAAAGAGATGCAGAATGATGTAACTGTTGTAAAAGAGTCAAAATTTGGTTACGGGCCAATTCATGATGTTCAATTAATAAATTGAGTTGGTTTGTTTAAGTAGTTGTAGAACAAATTCTTCTGTGTTCGTCTCACTGGTTGCTTGCAACTTTCTCTCCCGTATTTGTGAAGCTTCATCTCTTTCTTGTTTGCATGCATAACCAGCAGGGAAGTTCTCTCTTTTTTGGTAACCCAGGGAAGTTCTCTTTCTTCCACTTGGTGCTAGAAAAACGGGGTACAGGCCACATGATACGGATTTGTCACCTTCATGCTTTAAAGATGCATATTGAAATAAATTTTGTAAATGAAATGATGCAAATTTTTATCTTGTAATGGAATTGGCTAATCATTTTCTTTTTAAGGTTCTGCATTTTTTTCTGACCTCTTTTTTCTTGACCTGGTCTGCTTTCTGCCTAAGCTTAACTACAAAGTTTTGGACATTTTTCTTCACCTGGAAATTCCATATCTTTTTTACTTGTACATGTATTCTTTACTTTTTGATCAGTCATTTCGTTAGGGACTTATAAAAGTATATTGTACTTTCCTTGTGGATGAAGCATATTTCATGTTGCATTTTTTAATTAATTCAATAACTTACAAAGAAATGATTTCTTAGCTTTCAGATTGAATTTGCAATTTAGTATCTTATTATTTTGATGCCCTTTTGTGTTCTGTTCTCCTTATTCTTGTATATGAATCAGTCTCTTCTCGATGTTGTTGTTTCAACATTATCCTTCTCATGAATTGAGGTGTGTACTGATGTATTTCCAAAATATAGAAAGCATAAACCATGGCTCCAGTATGTTATTGTATTTCCCGCTTTTATGATTCTCATGAATTGCTGCTCTTACATTTGATATGTTGCCTTTGGCTATAACATCTTTGTTCTTGTTATTTTCTGTTTTGGTGGATGCCATGCGTTTACCTTTTTTTATTGGCTCTATATATACTTACGGATATCCTCCTTTCATTCCAGGAGAAACTGTATCAATGGATTTTGAGGCAGCAAGAAGAAGGATCAAGAGTAACAACAGTAGATATAGTTGCTTATTTGCAGGTTTCTTAATTATCCCTCATTTAGTGATGTCTTAATGCATTGAGAAATATTTTATAGGCATATAGAGATGAGATATTTCATTTTGGATGCATGTTTCATGCTGGATACTAATTAAATTGTACATAGCTGTGGAATCATTTGTAAGGTATTTTGGAAATAAATTTTATCCATATGGATACATGTCCTTAATATCTTTTATATTCATTGATTGATGTTCAAATAGTTGTGGAATCATTTTTAAGGTATTTCGGAAATAAATTTTATCTATATGGGTACACTTCCTTAATATCTTTTATATTCATTGATTGATGTTCAAATAGACTATGGAAGATCAGTTATGATGTTTGGCTTTATAATTTTTTGGAAATACCTGAGATTTTCTTTTGTTATGTTCTATTAATTTACCTTTTATTTGTTTTCTGGTTGCTTCTGTCATCTTCCAAATCTTCAAAGACAAATAGAAGAATTTGATTCACACGGTGAAATTGAATTACTTGTTTTCGGATGTTTGTGTAGAATGAGCTTGAATATGGAGTGGAGGAGTCTCCGATGTCCCCCAGGTTGCCTATTCATCACCAACATCCCCAAAGTGCATTGAATAATCTAGGAGTTCCCATTGCTTCTATTCCATGTGCACCGGCTGTAGGGCCTGGAGTCCGTACCGGACAACCAGATCATCAAGTGAAGAACTCAGTTTTCTCTAATGCTCTCTCCAGCCCTGTTCGCCGCAGCCTTCAACACTATCACTTGTCGCAGGGAAGCTACCAAATGTCATCTGGAAACGGTCCTCGGAATAGTGACACCAACAATGTCCATCATCAGAACAGGGATGCCAATTCTCCCAGTTCTGAATCCATGGACATGCATGCAGATAGTCCGGGCCATGACTTTCCTTATTGAAGTTTCCGTGTGGTTTCTTGCATATTTTTTATTGTTTTTGTTGTCAAAACTTTAAAGCTCCTGTGTGGTGGTTAGAACTTAGAAGCCTTGAAAATTGACTGCGGATGTAGTGCAAGTACCATTTTATAAGGTAGCTATATCATATTTCTCTAAGCATGGTTATGCATTTTCCTTAAGAGTAGCGACTCTTGAACTTGTGGCCACATCAGAGGGAAAGTCCTTGTTCTAACGTTCAATGGATGCATATACAACCAATGTTTTAAAACCCAACCCGGGGTGAAAGTCGACAAAGTGGTCGGATCCTAAGTTGACCGGTTTAACTAGTTTGAGATGTCCAAAAGTTTGAAATTTAACAAAAATACATTTGAAAATTACATGTAAGTTTCTATAGGTTTGAAATCTTGCAAAAACAACCTAAACACTCTCCTCAGCTCTTGACTAAAGCCCACTTCACCTCTCCCTCGTTCGCCTCCCCAGTTGCAGGCGATAGCAGGATTTTTTTTGGTGACATTGTTTTGTGATTTTCGATTTATTTACTCACCAAAAATCAACGTTGTTGTCACCATTGCACTCACTGGTAGTTTTTCTTCAGAAACCTTAACATTCTAGTAATCAATGTTCACAGATTGATGTCCTAATTTCTAGGGTTTTAAATTAATAGGAAAATTTGTAACCTTACCCGATGAAGGCTCTGGGTCCCAATTGAACTAGTTCTACTGGCTGAGCCAGGTCGGGTTTTAAAACAGTGCATACAAGTTTTTAATGTGTATATCATGTTATAACATGTACAAAATTATTTGTATTAGAGTAATTCTCTAGTAAGAATATCCGTATTTAAATTTTGTGGGGATCATGTTTAAATATTATTGGATTCATTATCATTGAATTTAATGATGTTTTACGTAAAAAGTCCATACGTGTAATGTACATATATTTTATCTTATATTGGCACATGGCACGAGGGTAATTGTTCTTAAGAGTAAACAACATTTTCCCACCCAAGTTTTGGTAAACCTACAAGTTCCCACACATAGTTTCATAAATTACATATTTCCACCCTTAAATTAAAGCCGTTACTTTTCTCTTAAAATAATCCCCACATCTTAAATTTCTCTCAAATAACCCCTAGAGGAGATCCCAGCCAAGCAAAAATCCGGCCTAACCGCTTGATTCCAACACCACCATCAGCATCCGCTTATCCTCCTCACCAAAACCCCTAAATTTTCCACTTGATTACACCTCGGCAAGGTGCCTGAATTTGGCTGGAAAGGCACAACAAAATGCGAAAACCTAAAGGAGAGGTTACGGTGATCAGCGAGGAATTGCGGTCGGCGGTGTTGGGGGTTTTGATGGGGGGAAGCTAGTGATGCTATTGGTGGTGTTGGGGATGGTTTCCGGTGTCGGGACCTGTCGGAATTTGGATGAAACGCCAACTGAAACTAAGAGCGACGACCAGCGATTGGGGGGTTCAATCAGGTGGGGAGGTTAGGGGCTTTGATGTGGGGGCTGAAGGGATTGTAATGGTGGTGTTAAGAGGGGTCGATTGCGACAGGAACAAGCCGAAATGGCTTGAAATCGCCGGTGGGGCGAATTTGAGAAGTCAAGCGTTATTTTGAAATTTTTCGATGAGGTGAATTTGAGAAGTGAAGGGTTATTTTGAAAATTTCATCTTGAAATGACAATTTTACCCTTATAACTGTTAGATTGAATATTTTTCTATTAATTTAAGGATGAGAATCTGTAATTCATGAAACCACGGGTGGGAACTATAAATTTGCCAAACCTCGGGTGGGAAAAGTCGTTTACTCTTATTTTTAAAACATTGGGTTGGGGCCTCTTTTCTGCGATTGCTCAAACTTTTTTCTAGGTTTTAATGTTTTATGCCTATCACCGATCATCTAAATTGATAATTGCATTGGCGCCAAAGTTGTTTAGCTAAATTTAAAGCCAAAGCAATAAAAAATAAAAAATAAAAAAACCACACACCTAATTAGGCTTTGAAAAATAAACACCCTTTTAAATAAGAGTTCGACTTAGAGATTTAAAGAAGTAATTTCAGGTTTGATCTTTAGATGTGGATTAAAGGTTTAATTAAATGGATTAATTAAGGATGTTTAATGGATTCTGATGATTCATTGAGGTATGTGCAAGCTGGTTTAGATAACTCGGTTACTAAAAAAAAAAAAAAAAAAAGGATTAAGATTAATTGTGATGAATGAGATTTATGGATGACTGAGGTTTTGTTTGTAAACTGAAAAAATTTAATTAAATTTTGGTCTGATAAATAGATATTTTTTGTAAAGGTTGTTTAATGAATGTAAAATTAATTAGTTTGGGGCGATTATAAGGTATTGATTTAAGGGTAAAAGGTCATTTCTAGTTAACAAATTTTTATAATAAAATGAATGGAATGGGGGCTAGAGTTATATTTTAAAACTGACAGGTGATACTATGACTCATGAAAAACTACAAGGTTTTACTAAAACTACTAATTAAATCTGTACAAAAGCAAAAACACAAGAAAAACAAAACCCAAATTTAGGGGCATTTTATTAAAAGGCTAAATCAAGTTCAAATTTAATTAAAAGGTAATGTAGTTTGAAAGTGTTAAGTAAATAGTCTTATTATTGATTAAAGTTATTTAAACATGATTAGTGGTTAATTAGGATTAATGAAGTATTGTGTAATCTTTTAAAAATTACAATATGTCCCCAAAGAGTCAAAATTTTTGCAAACAAACCCAAACATCTTCTTCTTCTTCCTCCCGCCTTTAACATATCCCTCCCCTAGTTGTTGTTTCTTTTAAGCTTCGTCTACATCTTCTTCTTCCTCCTTCTTGTACATCTTTTTCTTCCCGCCATTAACACTATCTTCTTCCTCCACCATTAATATCTTCTCCACCACAGATCATTTTCCTTCTCCTCCTCCTCCTGACATTTCATCCAGGTATGCGTATCTCCCTTTTCCATTTTATATTTCGATTTCCAAAGATTTAATGATGAATTGGGTTTGGGTTATGATTTTGATTTAGTTGTTTAGGTTGTTGGGTTGTGTTTGATGTAATGCAAGTTGAAAGGAGTGAAATTTGTTGAATATTTTTTTGCATTGTGGGTAGCTGGGGGTGGTAGCATTGATTATAGGTGGAGATGACTGAAAATGTGTTTTGGATATGATGGATCGCTTAAGCGATCACGTATGTTTGGTATAATGCAATAGATCGTAGATTGCTTAAGCGATCTGCTATAAGTTTGGTATATGGCAGCAGATCGCTTAAGCGATCAGGTAAATGGCAGAAGATCGCTTAAGCGATCTACTGTAAGTCTAATGTATGGCAGCAGATCGCTTAAGCGATCAGGTAAATGGCAGAAGATCGCTTAAGCGATTAGGCTTATTTATACCAGATCGCTTAAGCGATCAATTATATCGCTTAAGCGATACACCAGATCACTCAAGCGACTCTGCAGATGCTTTTTAAAATCTTTCAACCCTTAATACATCAGTTAATAATATTTTTTTTCTTGCATTATAGGTACTTGGCTATTATTAGACATGTGACAAGTTGTTTTGGGTGTTGAATATTTTGGTGAATGGGTGGAGGAAGAAAGTTGCTGGAAGTGGATTGGGAAGAGCAAATAAGTTATACCAATTAGTGTAAGAACAAAAGTTAGTTTTGATGAGTTGATTGATGAAATAATTAGAAGAGGTGATTTGAGTTGCTCACATAGTGATATAGTTGTGAAGTATGTTTTAAGCAGAGTTCCTGAACATTATGAGGTACCTCCTGCTATATTAAAGTCAGATGAAGGTGTGAAGTTATATATGATTGATGTGGGTGATAATGGTTCGAGGCCGATTTTAAGCGGTTCTTTTGTAGATAAACCGTTGGAAGTTGGTTCAAAAGGAAGGGGATAACGAGGAAGTTGGCGGAGAGAATGTTGGTTTTAATTTGAACTACGAAGGCATTGATTTCTTAGTTGAAAAATTAAGAGTATGCGGTGATTTGGGTGGTAAGGAGGACACTGTAGAAGAGGTTGGTCATGTGCAGCAGAATGAAAATGTTGAGGAGAAAGACCCTGTACATGTTCCCGCAGATGTAGAGATTCCTTTAAATACAGATTATGTAGAAGGTGTAGTTTGTGAAGAAGAGAACACTATGGTCCTTTATGCAGGTTCAGAGGGGGTAATTACAGGTAGTAGTGAATCAGCTCATGCTTTTACTGATGGATCAGAGTTGTGCATAGGGTATTTATTTGAAAATAGAGAGAAATTGGTGAGGAAGCTAAAACTTGCTGCCATGAGAGGTAATTTTGAGTTCATCACCAAAAAGTCTAATTCATCGGTTGTGACGGTTGCATGTCATGACCGAAAGTGCAAGTGGCGGGTTTATTGTAGAAGGTTGGCGGAGTTCGAAAAATTTATTGTTAGTACATATACCTGTGAGTACACATGTGGTTTGGGACATATTTTAGGTGAGCGTCAACAAGCCTCCGCTGATGTTATTGGACAATTTGTCAAAAGTCAGTTCATTGAAGGGAAAGGTCCATCTCCTAAAGACATTCAGAAACTTGTGCGCATAGAGTTGGGATGTGCTGTTAGTTACTGGAATGCTGGAAAGGGAGACAACATGCACAAGATTTTATGAGGGGCACGCTAAAGCACGAGTACGCAGTATTAGAAGCGTACCGTTATATGCTTGAGTTAACAAACCAAGGTAGCAGGACGACTTTGAAGTGGGACAAGAATATGAGGTTTAAATATTTTTTTTATTGCTTATGATTCTGCTATAAGGGGTTTTGTAAACATGAGAAAGGTGTTGGTTGTTGATGGTTGCTTTTTGATAGAAAAGTATGAAGGTACATTGTTGGTAGCCACTGCACAAGACAGCGAGAATCACACATATCTCGTTGCATGGTGTGTGGTTGACTCTGAGAACAACAAGTTGTGGACTTGGTTTTTTCAGTAATTATGTACGATAGTGCCTAACAGTGACGAGTTGTGCATAATATCCGATAGGCACAACTCTATAACGAAAGGGATTGCCACTATTTACCCTCAAGCACATCACAGATTCTGTATGAGGCACCTTGGTGAGAACATAAAACAAAAGTTTAAGTGTGTTGGCTTCCTTCAGACATTCTACATGGCAGCAAAAGCTTATCGAGTTGATGAGTTTGAAGAGCACTTCCAGCAAATCCGAATCAAGGATGATAGAATTGCTAAGTATGTTGAGCATGATGTTGGTTTTGAGCGATGGAGTAGAGCTTACTTTCTTGGAAGAAGGTTTGATGTCATAACCACGAACATAACCGAGTCCATAAATTTGAAGTTGTTAATAGAAAGAGAGTTTCCAATAGTTGTCCTTTTTTATGCAATCTAGAGGACATTGTCATGGTGGTTCCATGAGCGTCGTACAAAGTCAAATAATTTTACTACAACCCTTGTTCTGTCAGTTGAAAAATTATTGCAAGAACATATGGAATTGTCAAATGTACTGTTTGCCTATCTTCTTAATGCTTAAGAGTTCACCGTGTGCAGCTATAGTCTGGATGCCCTAGTTAACCTTCTTAGTAAAACTTGAAGCTGTAAAATGCTTGACATTCAATGTTTACCTTGTCCTCATGCACTAGCAGCATAAAAC